TCCTATTTATTTAGTCATTGGAAGATTTACCTGGCATTGCTCGGGTGCTTAACTCAATTAGCTTTTGTTTTTCTTCCTTTACATAATTGCTCTGGGGTGGGGCCGGGAATGAGGGGTACAATATGTAGGCTGCCCTGGGGAGAGAGAAGAGTACCACAGCCCTCTATCACCATAGCAGCTTGGGGCTAGATGCCTCTCTTTGGCTGCTGAGCTCCAGTAGGCACAGCCAGGGGAGAGTTCATCCCCTGCCCTCTCTCTCTCCTTCCTACTCCCCTCCCACTCCCCCCCCCCCGCCAGCACTCCCTAGCCTGAGTGAGGAATGCAGCAAAGTGTGCACCTTCCCCAGGCTCCTTGGCTAAGGGAAAAATCCAGCAATGGGAGATGGGGGAGGCTAACAGGAACCTGGGGAGTGGGAGGTTTGGGACTGGGGAAGTCCCGGATGGGGGTTGGGTGTGTCCCCAGACAATTCCTTTCACCTCACTGGTGATTCTCTTTTCTGTAAGGTTTTAGGAGAAGCAGTCTCATTTCCTGGCAAAAACAAACCCTTATCTGGCTTTAAATTATGGATAAGAGGAAGACATCCACCCCTCCTAACCCCAAGAAACCATAGACTAAGGAGATCTCTTTGGAAAGTAGGAACACATATGAAAAGGACAAATCACATTTCTTATAATTTCACTTTTTCACACCAGTTTTGATTGGCTCTCTCTTCTCCTCGATTGGAAGTAAAGTTGGAAGGTGTGGTTGTGTTAGGACTGCGGTGTCAAACCAGTTCTGAAGCAGTGGCCGCTATACAGGTGACCCCCCCGCACTTACAACCTAATTGGTTCCTGGAGATCCGTCGTAAGTTGAACCCTTATTGTCCATAGGGCCAATGTTATGAATGGGGGTTCCGTCCCTGGCCCACTTTGCCTTCTGGGAGTTGTAGTGTCCAGGAGCCAGTGGTGTGAACAGCACGAACGGTGCCCTGAGCGAGCCGGCCGGCCGGGGACTGTGCAGGGCGGTAGGTGGCCCTGCAGCTCCTGGAGCGGAGTGGCTGTAAATACGGGGGTTTGCAGGTCAGGTGGCTGTAAGTCAGGGTTTGCCTGTAGTGACTACTGCTTTAGTGAACTAGCCACATTCAACTGGCCAAATAGCCACATGTGGCTAGCGTGTTGACACTACGGGGTTAGGAGGTGCTGTTAATTTCACTTGAGGCAGGATGTGATTAACAGCTTGAAGTATTTCATGCTGAGTATCAATATGAACTTCATTGTTTCAAGATGATTACAAAACTGGGCTCTGAACTTTGTGGATAGCATCTCGCCTCAAATAAAGGTAAGTACATGTGACAAAGAGGGGAAGGCTGCTTCCTGTGGAAGGTCTGGCTGAGAACCTAGGGAGGTACTGAGAGTCTGAGGGCTGCATGGATCCAAAAGCAGAACTATTTTCTCTATACTCAAAGGAGAGTGCAGGACTGTACCCCTGTATCAAGGGGAGCAAGGTAACCTAAATAAAGAACAAATGGGCATCTGCTGTTTAGATTGTGATGCAGAATGAGACTGAAATTAACCTTTTGTTAATCTCTAAGACTGCGTCTACCCTGCAGATGCAAATTGAGCCTTGTCAATTGCGTATCTTATTTCAAAATAGCTTATTTCGAAATTGGGAATGTCTACACTTCACTTATTTTGAAATAGAGCACTCTTCCTCTGACTTCCCTTACTCCTTGTACAATGAAGGTTATAGGAGTGGGAGTAAGAAGTCCTCTAGCTTGACAGTATTTCAACATTATTTTGAAATAACTGCCTGGTGTGTAGATGTGGACTAAGTTATTTCACAATAACACTAGTTTTTTCGAAATAATGTTGCTGTGTAGATATATCTTAAGATGCCACAGGACTATGCCTTGTTTAAGTTTTTTTTTCAGTTACAGACTAACACAGCTACTCCTCTGAGACTGTTTCCAAACTTTCCCATGGTGAACAAAGAAAGTGGGCCTCCTTTTTAGAAATAGTTAACTAACAGGATTCTCTCCTTCTTTCCCACTGAGGGAGACCAGCACCTGTCACAATCAGAGCAAATGTACCTTTTTCAGTTCTTTACATACATGCTAAAAGCTTTTTGTTTGGTCTTAAAAATATCAAGGATGTTAGAGGTTGAGGCTGCCCTGTTTATGGAGGTCTCACCCTGGCAATCCAAATGTGGATTACGATCTTTCTCTGATCTCAATTTAAGTGGGTAGGTTTGAATTTTAATAGATGTCTTCTTCCAGCTGTTGGTTAGTAACTGAGCTGAATACATGCATACAATAAGGAGTGATGTAAACAGTGTAACTAAATGTCACACCCTGATTCAGCTAATTTCTTTGGTATCTGTGACTTGTCTGCTTGTGCTGCAGCCTTACTGTCTTCTAGGAGAAAAA